CCGGTCTCTACCCAGCCTGAGGCGAGTCACGAGTGAGGTAGGACAGGAAGCCGGAGTCACGAGTCACAGGAAGTCGGAAGTGATGTCATGCTGGACAAGAATCAGTCCAAATAACATTTTTGGCTGTCGTTAGAGTCCAAATAACATTTTTGGCTGTCGTTAGTCCGAATAACATTTTTTCATATTCGGACTCGAGTCCGAATAGTCACTTCGTATCTTTTATTTATAAACACTCTCAGCAATTCTTGAAGAATACCGGACCACTCTCGTACACATTATTGCACGAGAATGTGGTTCAAAATTTTAATGAATAGATCTACTGGTCCGAGATTCTCCATTGAGAGATAAAAACTGGTGAAAATCGTGAATTCCTAAGGCCTAAGGCCTAAAGGTTGAGACTTTGGCAAAGTCAGTCCGCTGGTCCGGTTTTCTTCAATCTTAACGGAAGCCCTGGAAGACGACAAAAGTCTAGATATAGATTTCGAGATTAGATCTTGATCTAGATTCTAGATCTAGATCTAGATTAGAAAGAATATCCTCTACTCTAGTTCTAGCCTACAAAAATAATCACAAAATTTGTTTACCTCCAATTTCATGTTTCGTTCGAAGATCGTCTGGGCCTTGTGGGTGAGTTGAGCAAATGCAGCACTAAGTGCTGTCATTTTTTGGCGGCCATCAAACGTTAATTCACATTGATCTGCATCTATCTCTCCTAGAAGCAGATCTAGATCGACAAACGCTTTGTCAAATTCTTTTTCCAGAATATCCAGCCACCGAAACGACAGCGTGGCAGCCATGTTTTGCGTTTACAAAGCTTTGTAAAGTGCAGGATGAATGGGGTTTCGAAGTTACAGATCTCAATGATAATTTATCAAAACAATTATTTTCCCAGTTCATAGTTTTGAAATGAATCAAGAAAAAATCTTAATGGCTTAATTTCTCTTCATAGCTTTTTTTTGCTTGAAAGTTCGAAAATGCGGCTATCTTCTATCGGGTAGCTGTAACCTGTCCTGAAAATTGAAACTGCAAGCACCGCGGGACCGAACTTGCAAAATACAAATTTATGTTAGGCTTAAACCTAGGATATCTGAGAGAAATAGAGGAGGGAATATAAAAGGTATAGATCTAGCCCTAGTGTTAACAACATAGACACCATTATCTGTAAACAAGCGAATGAATAAAGAATTGACTAGTGAAAAAGCCAATTTAATTTGTCACCAACGGGGAAAGGGCATTGGGGGGGGGGGTCTCTCACAACAAAAAATAACCCGTAGATCTACTATTTTTAACTGCAATGAGAAATGGCAATCAAAAGTTTAGTTATTATTATTTTACTTGGGGGTTTTTTCAACATGTTGTTTTAAGCTTTATGTTTTCGTCCACTCTTATGGCTCGTGAGCGTGTGCCTCTTGACTTGCACACATAAGATTATGGAAAACTCTGTGCCCACTGCTCCACTTAGAAATAAAATGGATCATAAGTGACAAAGAAACTTGTTTCTGCTCACGTA